AAAAAAAAAAAAAAAAAAAAGATGTTGATGGAGCCCTGCTTCCCAGTGAGGTGGGGCCTAGAGGCAGAAGAGCCTTGGTGGCTTCCCTCTCACAGGCCCTGCCCACAGCAGATAGCCGACCATACAGGTGCCTGATGGCATCAGTCTTGCTAAGGAAAGGAGCCTTGATAACGAAGGGAGGACCAGCCCTGTAGGAGAACTCAGGCTTGACTACTTGAGGTCATGGTGGTTGCTTTAACAAAAAATCCTGTCAGGAAAAAAATTATGTCCTTTGCAGCAACATGGGTGCAGCTATCCGAGAGAGAGGGCTGGCTAGAAGCCCAGACCTCACCTGCATGCAATTTACTTATATAGCAAACATATACCACAGCTCTAAAATAAAAAAGAAAACGGCCCCAATGCATTTAAGATAGAATGGAAGACTTTTCCACAGAATTCCACATAGCCAGGTTTCATGGGGGCAGAATGTGGGTATGGGGCTTCCCAAGGGCCCCCAACAAAGCCAGTCCCCTTTTTGGCATTAGCTCGCCACAGGACTGCCCTGCCGATCACACACCTCAGACAGACATGACAGGTACCTCCTGGCTTATCTGGTCATAGATAAAGAAGGCCTTACCATCCTTCAAAGACCAGTAAGAACTTTCTGCCAGCCTGGCACCTCTGCTTAACTGTCTGTTGACTTTCTGTGACTATGTGCAGCCAAGGAGGGACAGAGATTTACCATTTTAGCCAGAACAAATATGCAGAGAGGTTCAAAACCAGGCATAAAGTTTCAGAGAGCCAAGTTAGAGGGTGTTGATAACTATACAAACATTTACTGTGTCCTTATTGGGGTCATAAAAGCCATCCTCAAACTAATATATGTCAAATGACGAAGTCTGAAATATTTTTAGCTTTGAATTTTTTTTCAGCCAGTGTCAAAAGAGAGACTCCAAAAAACTTACTATAGGTCTATGTCCAACACTAAGTCTTTTATTTTTTTTCCTGGAAATATTCTTAAGTTAGTTCTGTTTCTTTCTTTTTCTTTTTTTAGAGACAAGATCTTGCTCTGTTGCCCAGGCTAGAATGCAGTGGCATAATCATAGCTCACTGCAGCCTCAAACTCCTGGGTTCAGGAGATCCTCTTGCCTCAGCTGAGCCTACAGGCATGAGTCACCATGCCTGGCTAATTATTATTTTTTTTAATTTTTGTAGAAACGAGGTCTGGTTATGTTGCCCAGGCTGGTCTCCAACTCCTGGGCTCAAGCAATCATCTCCCCGTGGCCTCCCTAAGTGCTGGGATTACAGGTATGAGCCACCAGGCCTGACCTCTTAAGTGGATTTTGATTAGAATCACTCCCAAAAATGCTTTATCCCAATTCTAGGTACTTGGGACAGAACAAAAAGTCCTCCAGCTCAAATACTCAACGGCTGTCAGTGGGTGGATATTCAGAAAGAAAAGGAATCGTTCTCTGCTGACAGCACATCCCTCAGCTGCCCAGGTAGCAGAGGCCCCACAGGATGCTGCTCCTGGTGGAATACCACGTGGCCATCTCCATCAGCGTGTTTATTGTCTGCAGCTGCTTTCACACGACAAGGACAGAGCTAAGTAGTTGTGACAGATCATCTGGCAACACCTAAAACTTTACTGTCTGGTCCTTTATGGAGAGACTTTGCCAGCCCTGCCCTGGTTCATTCCAAGGCTCATCTGAAAAGCAAAGGGGTTTGGCAGCCCTTGTACAGGGGGCTTGCCATCGCAGCTGAGTTTCTCATGTTTGTCATTTCTGGAAGGGACATAAACCTTTTGTCTCCCACACTGCTTTTCTCCTAAGTACTTGGGAAACTTGGTTTGAGGAAATGCATTGACTTGTCCAGGGTAACAGAGATGGGTAGTTGTGGAGCCTGGGTTAAGATCCAGACATAGTGATTCATGAACCACAGTAAGAACCTCCAACTAACTGTGCAACTTTGGCTGAGTTAATTATCCTCTCTGAGCCTGTTTCCTCATCAGCAAGATAGAGACAACAGTCTATTCCTTGCATGATTTTATAAGAAACGGCTGAGACAATGTATATATGGAAGAGGCTCTTCAAGGGTATGGACTCCCCACCCCCTCCTGTCTTGCTAAATTGGAGTCTCTGAATGTTAGGGTTAGAGAAGCAGGATAGTTTGTCTCCTAACCGGATCACAGGTCTTTGTCAGTCAATCCCAGCTATCAAGATACAAGCAAAGGCAGCCCCCTCTCTCTCTGGCAACAGAAACTCTGTGGCGAAACTCCAGGTGCACATGTGTTCAAAAATTATTTCTAAATAGCTACAGTTATTGAGTTATTTGGACAAACTTTCAGAAAGCAGTTACTAGTGTGGAAAGTTCCAACTTTCATAGGTTTTTAAGATTTATTTTCAAGTATAGCCAGTAATCCAACCTGCTTTTTTAAAAAAACTGCTGTCAATTAAAGCCATACTAGACGCATTTCAGTAAATAGATGAGAGCACAGCTGTGATCAGCCCTTTGCTCACTGACTGGAGAGAGCAGCTACGAAAGCCCTCTAAGAGTTTGCTAAGCAGTTTACAAGTCTGTCTTGAAATCGCAACTTCACTTCATTCACTCTGCTCCTACGGTCTTGCTCTGATAAAACAGAAAGTTCAGAATCTATAGAGTCTGAATAAGAGCAGAATGACTACTCAGGACTGGGAGGCTGCTCAGGGCGATTTTGAACACTGCCAGCCTGAGGTACACCAGGGCATTTGGTGCCTTCCTCAAAGAATGCCGGGACCTCACGCCCCTTTGCAAGGCCTACCCTGAGAACTGCATGCAGAGCAGCTGTTTCCGCATGTAAGTTATGAGATGCTCTAAGCCTCTCTCTCTCTCTCTGCTAAGCCTTTGGTTTGGTAGAGCAGTCATCTGGAGGGAAAGCTGGGAGACTGGACTCCCATCCATTCTAGTTCTTTTTTGAGTTGAGATCTCACTGTGTCACCTAGAATGGATTGCACTGGCACCATCATGGCTCACCACAGTCTCAACCTCCTGGGCTCAGGCGATCCTTCCACCTCAGCTACCTGAGTAGCTGGGACTACAGTTGCCTGCCACCATGTCTAGCTAATCTTTTTATTTTTGTAGAGACAGGGTCTTGCTATGCTGACTAGGTTGGTCTGGAACTCCTGGGCTCAAGCGATCCTCCTGCCTCGGTCCCCCAGAGGCTGCTGTGTGAGCCACTATGCCTGGCCCCAATCCAGTTTTGATATCTGCTGGTTCCATGACAGGGCAGGACATTTCTCCTTTGGGGGCCATTTGTAAATGACACCATAGGAGCTCAGTTGACCAGACCAGACAAATAACCATTGCTCTGGGTCCCTCCAGGACTGAACTTGTGTGGACACAGAACATAATAGAATGTCAGGATTAGTTGGGACTGTTGGTGATTAGCTGGACTCTGTCATTTCCCCTGCAGAGGAAGAGGGACCTGTCTTAGGTCACACAGCTTATTAGCATACAGGTTTCCTGGTTCTCAGTTCCATGCTCTGGCCAGAACACTGTTATCTCAAAGATTAGGAGGCGCATCTAATCTCTGTGGCCTCATATATCTCAGACTCATATTCTGTGGCCTCATATTCAGACTCACTGCTGAATTTGGTCTCCATCCTGCCCACTCATCAAAGCTGCTCTGGATTAAGTGGCTTAGTCCTTCCACGCATTGCATGCAAAATTCTGCTCACACCAGCAGCTTCTCTGAGGCCAGAAACTGGCAGGCTGTTGCCAGCCCTTAGCAAATTCACCCCTTAGGAGCAGGAGAGAAATGGGGTATGTGTTCCCTAAGTTTAGAGTTCCCTCACTTTAGAGTCTCAAGGAACAAAAACTTTGGAATGAATTTTCAGAGATCATGTCTGTAATTTAATCTCATTTTCCAGGCTACTGAACCATCCAATGAATTTAGCAGAAAACTTCCTCAAAGGGACAGAGAAGTTCTTGGAAAAGAACCCCTGGCCTAGAAGGAGCCCCAGGACCAATGCTCCTGGTGTCTTGCCTCCAGTTGGCACACAGAGGCTTCTGCCCCTAGGGCTGGGTTGTCAGTGGATGAGTAGAGCTTCCATCTTTGCAAAAAATATTATTAGTATTATTACTTTTTTAAGAAATAGGGTCTCGCTCTGTCACACAGACTGGAGTGCAGTGGTGTAATCATAGCTAACTGTAGCCTTGAACCCCTGGCCTCAAGTAATCCTCTGGCCTCATCCTCCTGAGATGCTGGGACTACAGGCCCAGCTGATTTTTTTTATTTTTGTAGAGATGGGCTCTCACTACACACTATTGCCCAGACTGGTCTCGAACTCCTGGCCTCAAGAGATCCTCCCACCTGAACTCTCAAAGTGCTTGGATTACAGGTGTGAGCCACTGTACCCGGCCTTCTCTAGAATCTTTCAAAGCAAAACAAAAACAAAAATCTCTCCTCCTTCTCAGGCTCTATCCCAGCCACCAGCCTCCCCAAGTCTGGAATGTGAACTAGTAGGATTATGTGAAGTTGAGGGTGCTACACAAACCCCAAACCCCATGCACAGGGAAGAGATCACCATTCTTCCCTGCCTGGTACCTCCCCAGACGTTCTCCAAAGCCCAATTCAAATGTCATTTCCAGAGACTGGGTCAGACCAACCTGAGTTCAAATCCTGGCCCTACTACCTGTCTACTGTGTGACCTGGAACAAATGACTTAACTCCTTAAGGCTTCAGTTTAACCTCCTGGAATGGGGATCATGATGATAACCAGTTTATAGGGTGATTAGGGCCGTGGCCTGGTGGGGAGCAGGCATTCTGTCAATGCTGAATACACAGGAGGGGCCTGGAGCTTCTATCTCTGAGGTCTGAACAGCACCCCTTGCTCTTAGCCCCCCTAAGCGTGGGAGGGCCCATACTGGCCAGCCTTACCTTGCTGAGGTCCCCCAAGGCCATGACCTTGGCCACGGGCCGCCGGCTGAGCTGCTCCTTCACCCACTGCTCGATCTGCTTGTTCCACTTCATGGTGAACACGTAGAAGGCGTAAGCCAGCAGCAGCAGCAGGCTCTCCCACCAGGCGATGAGGCTGTCCAGGAAGAACGCGATGAGCATCATCAGGTCCAGTATGTAGAAGGAGACATCACGGAACAGAGGCCACCAGGTGAGGTTGAGGACCTCCCGGGAGAAAAGGGCGCACGTGCCGATGACAAAGAGGATGTTGAACACAGCTGAGCCAACGATGGTGCCAATGCCCACATTGCTGTGGGAGATGAAGACACCGATGAGGGAGGTGAATAGCTCGGGGGCTGAGCCACCTGCAGCCATGAATGTGGCACCTGCCACGTCCTCGGAGATCTGCAGCTTGTCCGTGATGACGCCCAGCGCCGGGACAAAGTACTCATCGCAGACAATGGCCAAGGCCACAAACACATACATCATGCCAAAGATGTGCAGGACCACCCAGCCCTGCCGCCGCTCCTCCACGCTAAACAGGTCTGGGGGGTACTCTGCCTTGGGATGGAGATCTGGAAGGGCAGGAGGCCATGCTGAGGGCCTGGCACTGGGCGCATCTGGGCTCGGGGCCGTGGGCAGGCTCAGGCAGGGTGCCACACATTGAGGCACCCGGGTTGGGGGACTGGCCCCAGCCGTGGGGGGTGCTGCAGTGCTGGGTGCAGTGGAGGATTTCTCTGCCAGCCTCCCAACTGTGACTGGGGCTGTCCCGGCCATGGACATGCTGGCTCTGGGCCAGGGTCTCCTGACACTCCAGGCCACAGTGGCGGCTCTGATTTCTGATGGGCTGCTTCCTTTCACAGTGGCTGCTGTCACCTGCCCCTCAGACATGGCTGGGGTGTCCAGAAGTGTTCCCTGAGGAGTCGTTAGGTGGTCCTTTCCTACTAACCTCCAGGGTTGGGTTGAGGGGCTTTCAACTCTTCGGGGGTTGGTCAGGGTGTTCTTTTCCATTGTACTCCTCGGAGAAGTCAAGATGTTTGTTTCTACCTCATGTGTCAGGAAAATTGGAGTGCGACCAACCACCCCCTGGAGAGCAGTTGGGGTGATCTCTCCCATTATTCTATGGGAGTTGGTTTCCACTATCTCATAGGTTGCTGTCTCTGCTGTCCTGGGGGTGACGGCCTGACCTGTCTCCTCTGTCATGGATGTAGGCAGGGCATGCGTGTCTGTGATCCCGCCAAGTGGGCGTGGAGTGTGCATCCTCATGTCTTCCCTGACTCGTGTTGGGCCGTAGCTCACCATCTCTCCCCCAGGTGTTGGGGTATAATGTTTTACTCTCTGTCTGCCTGTCATGGGGGAATAGTGATTCAGTGTTCTACTAGATGTGGTTGGGGTGTTTTCTGTCATTCTTTCTGTCCCTGCTGCTGTGGGGCTGTCATTATTCCTGGCTGTGGTTGGAATACTCTCGGCTGTTCTCTGGGACACACTGAGGGCATTCTCTGTTGTCGTGCTTGGTGTGGTGTCAGCCCTGCCCACGGTGGCTTGGGGCGTCAGCATCTCACCCTCTATTTCGGAACTTGCTTTTGGAGGATCGCTGCTCATCGCCATCGGCTCCTCACTGGGGAGGTCCCGGCTGGCCAGTTTCACAGACTGTTGCGAAGAAACTGCGGCCCACAGTGAGGGGAGGCCTCGGGGTCTCCGCAGGTGCTGGTAGGTGGAACCAATGATCAGCATTCCCAGGAGGAAGAGGAGGCGACTCCAGTGGAGCCTCTTTGGCCGGAGCAGCCGCCTCTCCTGTGCCCCCATCCTTATCAGCTTCCCCATGATGGCCAGGTATGTGTGGTCACAGAAGGCCTCTCATTCTGTCCATGGGGAGACTGAGGTCAGTCTGGGATTCAGGTTGGCAATCAGGAGCAATTTCTCCATGAAGTCCAGCCGGGAGGTATCCACAAACCTAGGCTGGGGGGAGGATAAAGATTATTTGCCACTAAGAGGAGATCTGGGATCTCAAAACATTCATCTGGAACAAAGTGATAATAGGAGCCTCACAACACAAAGGTCTCCTGGGAGCCTTTGTGTTGGGGCCATTGTCTCCAGGGAAGACACTTGGTTTTGGGAGAAAACACCCAGGCCCCTTCATGCCTGCAGGCAAGCCAGCAGCCAGGCTCCTTAGCCAGGACCTGGGGCTCCTCCCAGAAAAAACTCCTCAGGCCCAAGCCAGAGACACCAGAGCTCTATCATCTGCAGTTGGTGCCAGGCCACAGAGCTGCCTTATAAGAACAGGAGGACATAGGGAGACGTGATTTTTATTTATTTATTTTTTTTTTTGAGTTGGAGTCTCACTCGGTCACCCAGACTGGAGTGCAGTGGCCG